CTGGTGGCTCTAGTGGTGTTCTCGGGGAGGGCATGAGTAGGCTTGTGGCTGCACTGGACCTCCCTGCTAGGACCAGGGCACACGTGCCATGTTGGCTGGGCAGGACTGCAGAGTCCAGGACCTGAGACTTCCCTTCCTGCAGCTGCAGCAACCCCGCCTCCATGGTGGGCCAGAGCACATGGCATGTTTGCACAGATCCTTGCTCCTTCCCCAGAGACAATGCTCACTTTCACATCTGCCTTCAGGTGCAATGACATGGATGGAAAGGGCATTCAGTGTTCATTCCACCTGGGCTTCCATAACTTAAAAACAGGAAAGTGCTTGCAAGAGGGGCTTACAGCCAAGGTTGCTTCACCCAGTCACACTCTGCTGTGGCTTTGTCCATCCCCTCCATTGCTCTTCCTTTTTCCTTTCTCATGCCTATCCTAGGTCCTGGGAGCCACTAAGAGGACCACTGGCCTTGCAAACATGCTGTGAAGCTCAGGGGCTTTCTGAGAGCCTTCCGAGGCCCTGGCCTAGGAACTGCATGTTGGGGTCTGCTGGGCCTGCACTTTCAGAGCAGGAGGCCCTGCCTTCCCTGAGCTTTGGGCAGGCCTGTGCTGGAACACGGCTGTGGGCTCCTCAGCTGCTGCCGTTCGTCCTGTGGGGGTCCCTGGGCACACGGAGCAGCACTCTTCACTCCCATTTCCCAGCTGGGCAGCAACACGGCTGTGATTTTGGCTAGGCTTCTCACTCCTGGGCCTGTGTCTGTCCACTCTGAGTGGCGTCACCCTGCAGGATCTGAGGCCAGCAAAACGGCCGTTCCTCTCCCAGAATAGCTTTTGTCAGAGTGTTAGAGGGCTGCTAGATTCTGGCACACCAGGCTTCCCGTCTCACAGACACTCCTCAGTTGTACTCTAAGCTCTGCCTGGGTGATCACCCTCTGGGATAAAGATCCCAAGTGGCAAGGAGCTGGATGCCTTCATGTTGTGCCCAGAATGCCCTGCTCCTCCCCAGGCCCTGGAACACTTTGCTTGTTGGCTACGTGAGTCCAGCCCACTCAGCAGTTATGAGGCATCAGGTGAACAGATTCTTCTCCTGCCTACTAGCCAGGACCCGGCAGTGGGAAGTGGTGGTGGCAGAAATTACTCTGATTCAACATGGTTCACAAGACCCTGAGTGAGGCCGGATGGTTGTCACAACACACATTTTGACAGTACTGGCAGACACTGTGCGCTCAGCTCGGGCCAGGCACTGGAAAGGCCAGGGGGATTGTTGATGTGGAGGGAGGTGGGGTCCTGCCCAGCATGTACCTGCCATCCAGGTGGGGACGCACAACAGGACACTGGACAAGATACATGGTGGTATCACCATCTGTAGGCATAACTGGCAGCAGACTGTTTCCAGACACCATAATTCAGAAATACTCAATTTGAGTTTATGTTCATTGTTAAACTCTTAGGCCTTTGTAGCAAAAAAGATAAATAAATAAATATGTATAAATATATATACACACACATATGTGTATACTACATACTGTCTATACAGTGTGTAATTAAGTGCTAACTAAAGGCTGTCCTGAACCTTCAGAGAAGGGCATGGGTGGTCACATTGGGGTTTCTCAGATGGGCACTGGAACCACTAGATTAAAATAGTGGGCTTTTTTTAAAGTCTCAGAACCCTTTCTACAAATGACACTTCAGAATCAGTGTATAAAATAGGAATGCCAAGGGCTGGGCTTGTGAGTAGGGTGGGGAGCCCAGCCTTGCCTCATCTACTCCCCAGCCCCGACTGCCAGCAGCCCCCCGCTTCAGGGCCCTGGGTTTCTCACTCCTGGGCCCGTGTCTGTCCACTCTGAGTGACGTCACCATGCAGGGTCTGAGGCCAGCAAAACAGCCATTACCCAGGAAGCCTAATATTCTCATACTGTTATTTGAAGTACTGGGACACTCATCCTGGCAGATCAGATGGAGAGGAAGCCCTGTGCTCCAGCAAAGCCAGAGGTTTGGTCTTAGAGTTGCTCCTTTGGAGGGAGAGGAGCTGTTTGCAGATCCCTTGCTGGGGGGCAGTTCAGGGGTGAATTAGAGGCATGCCAACAGGTGTGCCACATCCCAACCCAGTGAAGGCTGTCCTGGAGGGGACATATGTACAGCCCCATGGGGACACATGGAAAGTCAGAGGGTCACATCTGGTTAGGAGTTGGCCAGATGTTGGAGGGGAAGGATGAGTCCTAGGAGGGGTGACAGCATGAAGCAGATCACGAATGATTCCAGGAGCTGTCTTCTAGTTCAGGGAGCTGCTAATACCTGTGTGAGCAGCACAGGGGTGCCCAAGGTCATGGGGAGGCATGGCGAGAATGGAAGGTGGCTGCATAGATGCATTTGGATTGATGTCATGGACAGTCAGGGCAAGGTTCTTTTTTTGAGGAAGATCTTTCTGGCAGTGCTGAACTATGGGACCAAGGAAATCTCAGGAGCTAATCTGGAGCCTCTCAGGAATTCAGGAGTGAAGGATCTGACCAGCCGGTATCTGTTGAAGCTCTTGCCCCAGCCTGGAAAGGATGTGGTTGGGTTGAGAAATTCCACCCTAGATCACTCATGCTAATGGAATGTCAGCAGCCGGTAGGATAACAGCCTGCCTGGTAGAAGTCACTTAGGCCAGCTCAGCCTTCAGCCACTTCCGTACCAGGCACATGGTGTGGTTAGGCCTGCCATGGACCCATTGGGCTATCTGGGATGTGGGGAGCAAGCAGCGGGAGGAGCCCAGCAGAGAGGAGTGTATTGGAGAGATTGGGTGCCAGGGGGATGCTGCAGGGCTGGTCTAAGCAGCAAACCAGCCCAGCCCAGTGGGAGTCCCCCTGCCCAGGGCGCTCTGCTGCTCTGGCCGCCTGAGGGGAAGGGCAGCCTTGGAATGGACTTGAGCCTGGATGTTCCCAGCCCTCTCTATCCTCACTAACACCTGCTACTCAGCTGCTGGGCACCACCACCTCCCAACCCTTTAGCACCCCATGCTCCTTTTCATCAAACACCAGCCCCAGCAAGCCCCCTTATTTGTTCTTTCCTTGCACTGAATCTGATTCAAAAACACAGCACTTGATTCTTTGGGCAATTTGTCATTTTTAGTGCTGATTGTTACCTTGAAGGCAGAAATTGTATCTTCTACTTCATATTCCTAGAACAAAGTCTCCAAATAGTTGTGGCATGTTAGACCCTTCAGGAATCTAGGGACTGAGGAGAGTAGAGATAGCAGGACCAGTTTTACCCCAGAAGCTGCATGCCCGAGTGCTGAGACCACGTTCCTGCCCACGTGGTCCACAATGTGGGGACCGGGGTTTCTGCTCTCAGGACCCCATAGGCCAACTGGGAAATTCATTAGTAGATGTTCTAAGAAGGGTGCAAGGCATCCTGAGTGGTGGGAAGGCTTCCTGGGGAGGTAGGATTTAAAGTCAGGCTTGGAGATCAATGAAAATGGAGAGGAGAGGAAAGGCCTGGGGAAAAGGGGAAGAGGTTTTTGCAGAGGCAGGAGAGGCACATGGCATTTTTGAGGAAAAGTGAGCAAGAAAAATAGTGCTTGCTCAGAACCCAAAACCCCCCCTCTGAAAAAAGAACTGGGACAAATTCCATCCCGATCTTTGTTCTCTGCCAATAAGTCACAATCTAAGAAAAATAAGGTGTGAGAAGAAAGGAGCAGAGTGAGCTGGAGGTCAGGTTTCAGGCCAGGCCAAGGCCCCAAGTGAGGGAAGCCAGAGGGGAAAGCTGCCAGGCAGAGGCTGGCCTCCCCGTGTGGGGCCTGCCCTTGCTGTAGTCTCACATCAGGAGGATGCACCCTGTCAAAGGTGCAGGACTCAGCTGCCAAAGGCCCTGTGTGCCAACCTCAGGTGAGCTGCAGAACCACCAAGCAATGGGCATGTTTGAGGCCTAACCTTCATGTGGGGTTGCCCAACATCAGTGCTGGAAATACAAGGGCCTCACTGCTCACCATCCAGTGAGAACCAGGAGTCACAACCTAGTTTGGGCCTCAGTGGCTCGGCCAAGTTCTCCACGGGCTGTGCAGGCAGCTGATATGCATCAGAGGGCCTGACAGTACCCACGGTAAAAAGACAGCAATACTGCCATACATTGGTAAATAGCCATGGCCTTGAACCTCCTAAGTGTCACAAGCTGCCTTGCCCCTCCCAATACCCCCGACCTGCCCAACAATTAGAGGCAACACCTGGTGCAGCAGGTGTGCAGGACCCCCGCTCCCATCCTGGTGAGCCAGTGTTCCGCCTGTCCCTGCTGCGTTCAGGTGGCGAAGGGAGCAGTCAGCCCCCTCCTGTGGTCCAGCCTTTCTCTCTCCTCCCAGCCCCCCAGGGCCACATCCCCTCACTGTTGTTACCTCACAGAACTGGTTTTCAGGTTGAAAGAGATTCTGAAGCTGCTCTCTCCCTTTGCACAGTAGCTGTGTTCCTAAATGGTGACTGAATAGGACTTCATGTCACTTTGATCCTATTGAATAGATAAGGGAAGCTGGCTATTTTAGTACATTCAGTGAAGAAAGCTTTGATAAAGTAAAACACATCCTTGTGTATCCAGCATCAGGAAACAAAGTTTGTGATTCAATTTAGGAGCTGTTGATTGAGCACCAGCATAGGAAACAGAATTGTGCACCCTAGGTGACCTTTTTTTTTTTAACCAATCCCTTGCTCAACTACATTCCTTGATTGAGAGTTGTCTTCTGGATCTGTCTCTTATACAAAGCCCTGTTGTGGCCTGTGGGCTGTCAATATAAAGATAGCTGCCTATTCAGTGAGGACCAGGTGCTGAGGACATGGGTCGGGGGAGCAAAGCAAGACGAGTTCATCTGGCTGGGGTGAGGAGCAGAGGGCGGGGACATAGTGTATGATCGGGAGAAGTGGCTAGGCGGTATGGACAGGAGTGGGGCAGAATCCCTTGGAGTGACAGCCTAGGAGGAAAGCCAGGGGAAAGGGGGCCCTCGCAGCGGCCTGCTAACTAGCTAACTACTGTTCTGCCTCCCCACAGCCTGATGTTCACCAAGGTGAAGCTGGAGCAGGTACTGAAAGGCCCAGAGGAAGCGCTTGTGACCTGCAGACAAATGCTGCGGCTGTGGCAGACACTGTATAGCTTCTCCCAGCTGGGGTGAGTGGCTGGCTTGTCCCTGGGGTTCTCAGAGGGTGGAGGGCAGTACCAGCAGCTGATGGGTGCCAGGGCAACAGCCCACAGCTGAGTGGCCGCATGCCTGCTGGGGTGGAGGGCAGTGAAGATGTTCGAATCACAGTGTGGAACTTACTGCTCCTGGGACCTTTTACAACTGTGGGCTAATTTTAGCCTTTTGACAATCTTCTGAGAAGTACATACCTGTTAAGGAAACTGAAGTTCAGAGGGGTAGGAAGGAAGAGAAGTCATTATTGAGCATCTGGGCCAGGTGCTAGGGTTGCTGTTTATGTCTTCTCACCTCAAGGGGAAACTGAGACTTGGGGATCTTGTGTAATTGGCCAGAGCCACTGGCCTGGTAAGTGATAGTGTTTGGGGCTTAAACCCGAGTCTCCTGAGTGCCAACCCCTGGGATCTGTCACTTCTTTCCTGGTTCCATTTGGAAGCTGGGAGAGGAGGAGGAAGCGGAGATCCTGAAGGGCCCTCAGCTCTACTCACTCACTGTCTCTGTGAGTCCTGTTTCCAGCTACAGTCCCCAGCCTGGGCTCTGGACTTTCTCCAGGCCAAAGTAGGGCGCTCATATCCAGGCTGAATCTGCAGAAAGTCTTTGCTCAAATACACAGGGGCCCTGAAACTCAGCCCATGCAACCCAAAGCAGCAAAGGGCCTTGTTCGGTAGGTGGGAGCACTGCCTCCTCCTGGTCCTCTGATCCCCAACTCCTCCCTCCTCTGGCATTGTTAGCAGTGTCATCTCCCCAAAGCCCCAGTGACCCCATTCTGGGGGATGTATTTGCATTTTCACAGAGACTCTGGGATCCCAAAAGGCTTTCACAATCCCCAGAGGCATGTCATGAATGGTGAAATTTACAAAGGAGGACCCAGGGTAATCCGTGGACTAAAATCCCTTGGGCAGGATAGGGTCAGCCCTCTCTTTGCAAAGCTTTGGGCTTGGGAGATTCCAGGGCAGAGCAGGACCAGTGGTAGAAGCTGCCAGAAGGAGGGTCTGGGCTGAGAGACTTTTCAGAAAGAGAATGGATTGCTGCCTGGCAGCTGGGTGATGTGAGGTTGAGGGCCAGATTCTGGTGTGAGGGGGACCTGTGTTTAGATGCCCCTCACTCTGCTGCTCACTGGTGAGGCCACATGGGCAGGTGTACATCCTAGCTCCCCTTGCAGAAAGGAGCTGTCCCTGCAGCTGGCAGGGACCATGCCTTGGCTGGTTGGCCTGCTCTCTTGGTGAGGCCTCTCTGAGCTACAGCCTCGTTTCCTGGCATGTGGGGCCTGGCCTATACCTCCCCTCTAAGCAGCAGAACTGTGGGGCTGCCTTTGGAGCCATTTCAAGTCACTGCCCACACACTCGTCTCTGATCTGAGGACCTGGCGGATCTCCTCACAACAGGAAGCCCCTAGGTACCTCCACTAGTGAACCTCCTGCAACTCCCCCATGCAAGATGAAGTGGGGCTCAGTGAGGCCGGCCTGGAGCAAACTATGGGCTGGATCCAATACCCTCCCAGCTTTTCCAGAAATAAGGAGCCTTCTTCCTGAACCTAGAGCTACAGAGCAGAAACTAGGGCTTATAAAATCTCATTTGGGGGTGGCCAAGGACCAAGACCAGAATCCGCAGCCTAAAGGTCTGGCCTACCCTGCCCCACCCAGTAGTCCCACCTCCTGCTGTGCCCCTGGCATACCTCCTTCCTCTGCTCCCTGGGCCAGCCCACACTGCCCCATAGGCCCTGCTCAGATGCCCCGTCACCAGGGTCTGATGCTTCCGCTCACTTCTTCTAATCTAGGCCTTTGCTACTTGCTCATCTTCAACTCTCTTCTCCCCATGTAGCTGTCAGGTTCTTCCAGGGAGTAGCAATGTTGTATGTTGGCCATGAACCAAGTGGCAAGAGCTGCCTGAGACAGGCTGTTTCTAGAGCCCTAGGAGAGGCCCCTTCGGGGGCTGGGAGGGAAGGTGGGACCAGAAGCTCTCTGTGGATCTGCTCCAGGCCAGCACTTGCCATCACCTGCCCACATTATTTCATGTACTCCTCACCATAACCTTGGGAATCAACATTCTCATGCTCATTTGCCTCACACAATAACCATGCTCATTTCAAGATGAGAAAACCAAGACCTAGAAAGGTTAAGTAGCTCTGCTGAGTGTCACACAGCTAAGAAGGGGTGGCCCTGTGGTTTTATCCCAGTGTCTGTGGCTCTTTGGCACCGCAGCTGGGTGATGGGGAGTGGGACAAGGGTGGGAGAGGGAAGGGACCAGCCCTGACCCACTGTGTTCTTGTAGTTAGTTTCCTCTATTGCCCATGACAATGGCTGTGTACCCATAGGCCCAAGTTTAGGGCAGTGGGAGCCTGAGTTAGGATGGCAGGGACCCCTGGGCCCCAGATTCTTTGTGGCACCATCGTCTTGGCGCTCCTCTGAAGGGAGCCTCTGGCCCCAGGCTGGACCCACTTCCTCTCCTGCCCTTTCCACCTCAGTCCTCCCTAGGCGTACCCAGTTAGCAGGTTCAATAGGCACGGGCATCACTGGCCATGGGCAGGGCAGCTGGGTGCTATGTGTGCCCCAGAGTGCTGGCTCCTCCCACCTCCCACCCTGAGAAAAGAAGGGCCTCCCTGGCATTGTGGGAGCTGCAGCAAACTGGGGAATGGGGCAGGGGGATGGGATCCCCATACTTACTCATCTGCCTGCCCAGGGCCCCCCTGGAGTCACTCTGGTAGCCTGAAGTAGGGTGCCTGAGGCAGAGCGTGGCTTCTGGCCTCCTTCCCTGGGAGGTGGCTGGGGCACTTCTGGTAAACTGCAAAGACCAGGCTTTCCTTGGAAGCCAGTCTACAGTGCCTGTGTGCCTGGCACTCTAACCGATATTGTGAGGGCAACGAAGGGCAGAGAAAACCTCGCACTGGCCTGGGGGAGCTTCTAGCATCACCATTTTAGAGGAGGGAACAGATGGAAAGGGAGATACGTGGTGCCAGGATCCCCGCTGACCAAGAGCAGGGAAGGAAGGTGGCAGGAGGGGCAGGGGCTATAGGAGGCTTTCTAGATGGATGAGCAGAACTCGGGCTGGGTTCTGAAGGGTGTGGCTTGGGATGGACTGAGAATAACAGGGAGAATATTCTTGGTGACAGTGGCATAAGCTAGCATGTAGCTTTGGGGACAAAATGTGGTGGCATTAGGGAATGGTAAAACTAATAGCTCCACGGGTACACAGCGGGCAGCGTGCGTATGGTGTGTGTGTGTGTGTGTGTCATGGGGAGTAACATTATGTCTTGGGTGAGCCAGATTCTAGAATCCCAAGCTGAGCTATGATCTGTCCTGCAGCTCTGGTTGTGTCCATCCTTCCTGATTGGTCCTGGCATGAGGCTGCCCCTCTCCCTGCCAGCCCTCCACCTCACCAGGGCCTGGCCCTCCCTTGCCTTCCAGAGGCCTGGAAAAAGATGGCAGCCTCGGTGAGGGCCTCACCCTGAAGAAACAGAGTGGCATGCACCTGACTTTGCCGGATGCCCATGACGCAGACTCCGGTAAGAAGGTGCCCTGTGGGCAGCCATCCATGGGGGCCCACAGCTCTCTCTCCCAGCCTGAGCTGATCAGAGAGCGTTGCGTCTGCCCAGCCTGGCCAAACTCACCCACTCCTCTGTCTGCTGCCCACTCCAAGGGCCTTGTGCTAAGGAGAAGCCCTCCAGTGTCTTTCAAGGCCCATCTGGGCTTTGCACTGGAAGTAGGCAGCTGGAGTAGGCAAGGGAGGGGCTCACCTCCTGGGCAGGGGAGTGGGGTAGGATGTGAGGGCTGGGGTGCTCAGGAACCATTTCCCCTTAGGCTAGAGCTGGAGGCCAAGGTCCGCCCCTGTGATGTCCTTTTGAGTCAATTAGAAAGGCTGAACTTACACTTACAACTCTAAGCCTAAGGCCAACTCTTTCAACGGAGGACTTGATTAGAGTGACTACCTTCCTCAAAGACACAAGCAGAATTAGTCACAGAAATCAAAGTGTGAGGGAGTTGTATTTAGTGGCATTGCTCCTTTTTTCCAATTCTGTGGACATGAACCAAGTTGTGCCTTCACTGTCAAGTGAAAGAGCTGGTTCCCGATGCCAAGCCCAGCACCTGCCTAAGGAGTACTGCCCACAAAGTGCAGCTGCTGACTGCTCGGAGGGCGTGGTGCCCTTGCAGTTAAAGAGGGAAGGGCCATGAACAAATTAATAGGACTCAGTGTGTTCTCGTCTTACAAACTCCAATCACCTGTGGTTTGCCCTGAGGTCTCTGGAGCTTATTGGACCCTTTATTGCCTCTCAGAGAGGGAGAGAAAGTGCTGGCATTTTCCCTGAATGTGAGTTGAAAATGTCAATGACTTATGTATCCTGAATCAGCATCCATGTCACCCAGAACTGCCACAAGGAGAGGGTGGGGTCTGACCACCCTCAGAGGGTACAGAGTCTGACCTGAGCCGCTAGGCAGGATTCTTTCATAGCACAGCCTCAAATGGGCCCTTCCTGCATAAGAAACAGTAATACGCACTTGTGAAAACAGCAAGTAAAAATAGCAAAAGGAAGACAAGAAAAATCATCCAAAATTTCACTACCCAACCTTAATAAATGGTCTTCAGACTTTTTTCTATGCCCATATTTTTTTATAAAAGTATGATCACACTCTGCCAATCTGAATCTTTTCAGCTACTGTATAATGTAAACATCTTTCCACATTGACATCCATATCTGTGCATTGTTATTTTAATGACTGCACAGTCTAGTGTGATTATACTCTCAGAGATTCTTGATCCCTCCCTATGGTTGGATGCTCAGGTCTATCTTTGGTATCAGGTCTATCTTTGGATTAGAGCAAGCAGTCCTAGGAACAGACTTTGAGGAGTGAGCTTGCTGCCTGACTGCAGCCCTGGGTGAGGGTACGAGGTGGGCCCTTCCTGGTAGGTCTGTGAGCTGCTGCGCAGCTGCCCGGCCTTGCTGCCCTGCCCCAACTCAGTGTGCCTGCTCTCTTGGTGGGGCCGGGCAGTCACTCTTCCTGGACCCCGCAGCACACAGTGCTCCCGCTCCGCCGCTCAGCACCTCCCATCCTACTCTGCAGGCTCTCTACGGGCATCATCCATTGCAGCCTCCCGGCTGGAGGAGGCCATGTCAGAACTGACCATGCCCAGCTCAGTCCTGAAGCAGGGCCCCATGCAGCTGTGGACCACGCTGGAACAGATCTGGCTCCAGGCTGGTGCGTATATGCAGCCCCAGTGACACCTGTACACACACCTGTAGGCCACAAGGCTCTCAGAGCATGACCTATCCTTCAGAAGGGAGTTGGGGATGTGAGGACAAGGGGACAAGTCTGGGGACAAGGCGCACACAGACTATAGTACTCATGGAAAGGCCTGGGGATCAAGAACCTGGAGCTCTATTTCCACCTGTGTTTTCTGTCCTTGGCCTGAGAAAAGTCACAGAATCTGGCTGTGAGTTTCCTTCTCCACCAAAGAGAGGGAGAAGCTCACTGGCAGCAAATACAGATGTGAGAGGATTTGAGGGAAGACTGCATAGGTAGGTAGCTTCCTAGTCTCAAAAACAGGCCCATCCCTCTTGTCCACCATCGCCTGAGTGAAATTAGGACTCAAACCCAGGAGAGCTCACAGACTTGCTAGAGAAGAGGGGAGGTATGGCGGCCCACAGGACAGTCAGGTGTGGTAGAGTTCATTGAAGGTAGAGGGCTGGTAACACTGAGGTCACCATTCAGTTAATAAGCCCTCATAGGTAAGTGGCACCCCTGCCACTGTGGAGTTTGAGGGTCAGGTAGTGGTGAGGAGGCAGGCAGCTTCGGGGTCACACAGGGCTGGGTGCTGACGCCAGCTCACTACTTCCATCCTGACCTAAAATGAGCTCTGTGTGGGGCAGTCAGTGCGGTAAGGGGCACGCAGCAGGTGCTCAGTGAATGGCGCTCGGTTTCTGCTCCAGCCGCTGTGGTCTTGGTGGAGGTCAAAGCACCATCGCACCGACAGTGAGCATCCCTGCTGGTCAACTACAGGATGGCAAGGGCTGGGGTGTCTGAGCATGTGATCCAATGGCCATGTGAGAGGTGGGTTAGAGTGAAGAAAGAGAATTGAGGCCAGAGGTGTGCCTGAATGGGATACAATGCGCAATGGCAACACAATGAGAAGGCAGGTGAGGGAGTAAGTGCACGGGGCCAGGATGCCCTTGGTAGACGGCTGCCCGAGAGGGCCTCACCATTTTTCTGACTGCCCTGCTCTCTGTCCCCTCTCTGGCAGGGGTGTGGTGCCAATAGCCTTGCCTCAGGACAGATGGAGAAGAGACCAAAAGTAGATCATTAGTTCCTGGGACTTGCTGATTTTGCAAATCAGAGCTCGAACATGCTCAGCCGGGAACCCAGGGTTTCCCACTGCACGGATTTCACACATGGACACATTAGTATGCGGTGCTCCCCCACTCTCCCACCACAGGTTCTGAACTGGGGGGAAATTGGACCAGGCTTCACAGAAAGGCTAGGCAGGGGAGTATTTTAATAATGCAAATATTACCCCTGTTAGCAGCATTTCAGGGTCCTTTAGGATGCTAGGGATGTTTGGGGGGGGCATGCTCCATGGTCAGCTTGTTTCATCTTAAGTAGGAAGAAAAATCCAGAGGAATAATAAAGTCTTCTCTGAGGCAGATTCCCCTGTATTCCAAGACATGGAACCACAATGGCTCCTAAGGGGCACTCTGGGGTCCCAGCCCCCACCAGGCCTTCATGTACCTGGAGTAGAAAGCTGCACCCCCAGTGGGTGCTTCACCAACTTCAAGGAGGGTGTCAGTAACACGGTGATCTAATTCCAAACTGTATATTGCCTACTCAGGCTCTCCCAAGCTTTTTGTTTTAATGATGTATCTTGTTTACTGCCATGAGCACATGAAAATGTTTTTGCATTTCACAAGCCTACTTGCGTTTCTCAGACATGCTGCCTTATGCTCAGGATGCTAGTATGTTCTGGTAATTCCAAGGAAGGTTAAAGACTTTCCTGAAGCTTGTACTTCAATTTGGAAATATCAGCATAAACACATACCCTTCAATATTTTGAACATTAGCCTTTCTTCTCTGGACAGTGTCCTAGATATTCAGCCTACAGAGAACTCTGAGAACAATAGCTGAATGCTTTGAATGGGGTGCCTGGTAAGGGTTGGGTAGTGTGGCATTAGGAGATAGGTTTGAGTGTGTGTCACCAATCCAAAACAGCACTGCTTCTACAAGGTGGATGTTCTGTTTTCACATGTAACTGTTCACAGATGGAAACCTTGGCTCTGCTCTCTCTGGGGTGTCACTCTTGTCCCTATGATTCATGGTGGCTTTCCACCATGTTCACATGCCAAGGCAAAACTAAGAAGAGTGAGAGAAGGGGACACCCCTTCCCTATAAGGAGATATCCCAGAACTCACACACATCACTTCCCTTCACAGTCCATTGGCCAGAACTTAGTCACATGACCACATCTAGCTGCACAGGACTCTGGGAAGTGTCATTATTCTGGGTGTCCATATACCCCTTTAAAAATTATGGAAGAATGAGGGAATAGACTGATGGACAGCTACCACAGCCAGAGGGGAAGTGGGAAGGGTCTTTCATCCTGTGTAGGAAGAGTCTGGAGCAGTCTGTACTCTCCTCTGGCCACCATCAGCAGCAGCATGTACTGAGCACCTACTGAATGCAGGGCTGCCAGGAACAGAGCCCCAAGGCAATACCCTTTCCCTAACTCCACTCCCACCTGACCCAGGCTGATTATTATCACCAGCACCCCACCCCCTAATGGTTCTACCAGCTGCAGCAAATTGCAAGAAGGGAAACATACCCCTTTAGTCATTATGGGGTGAGCTAATTCCCCTGGTTTGGTTCGAGATGAATTGCATCCCTTTGTGTTTTGGCAGTAAGGTCCCTCATTAACCCACTCTTACGTTGGGAAATGTATCCTTCCTCTCCCAAATCTTGTCCTCTTCCCCTCCATTCTTCAAACCTCCTTCACATTCTAGTCTGATGTGAGGAGCCTCACAGAGAGTTTCCACTTGAAAGCTGAGCTTTAGGAATGTTGCCTCCTTGGCACAGGGTCTGTGTGAGCATGGGAATGGCCCTGGGCCCCATGGATGCGCCAGGATCCTGAGTGTCGAGAGCTGCCTTCCAGAAGAGCATGACGGCCAGCCTCCCTCTCCCTGCAGCTCATGTCCTTGGGAGCTAACAGTGTGCTGAGAGGAGACAGATGTGGGGAGAGCTCCCCTGCCCCGAAGGGCCAGGGCCTCACAGGCGGCCACAGGCCTGCCCTGGGTCAGGGGAAGCTGGCTCCCAAATGGCAGATCCACACTGGGCACTGGTGCCCTGGCTCTGTAGGTAGCACTGCAGGAGGGAGCTACCCCAGCTATGGGCTGGGCAGGGGGAGAACTGGTGGGGAGACCAGGGCTGTGTCTAAAGACTGTACTCTTAGAAAACTCCCATCAGGGAGAAGCTGTGGTCACACCCTGGTCCCACGTGCTTCTTTAATTCTTTGTTTCCCTCCTTCCTTTCCTGGTCTCCCCTCACTCTCCCCGCTTCTCCCAGCTGCCCACCCTCCTTCCTCCGGCCTTCTGTGCCTTCTTCCCACATTCTGTCCCTCTGCCTCCTCTCTGCCTGCCTCCCCTCCTCGCAGCATCTGAGGTATGAAGAGAGCGCTCTCAGGACTGGGTGTCACAAGTGGCCTGAGGCCGGCTGTGCCCCTCTCTGCATCCAGGGATGGAGCGCCTCAGACTAACACAAGAAATCCCCCAGACCTCTGGATCCTCTGTATTATTTCCGGTCTCTCTATCTTTCTGGTCTTGTGGCCATCTGTGGTCATTTCTGGCTCTCTGGTCATCTGTTCTTTCTCCCCTCTGGTCCCCTGGTCCTCTCTCACTTCCCCTCTTGTTTCCCTCTCCTTCCCCTTTATTCTGGTTACCTATGTGTCCTGAGGGTCTGCTCCTTGGGGAAGATGCTCATTTCCTTTAGGGGCCAGTTTGGGTGGCACCCCCCTCCCTGCCTAGCTAAGGGCCTACCTAATTTATGTCCTGCTTTGAGGGGCCTCTGCCCTTTTACCCTGGTGGTCCCTCCTTTCTGAGGTCCCACACAGGGTGTCTAGGAAGCACAGGTCACCTAAAAGGGGAGGCCCCTCAAAGGCCTTGGGTGTGGCTGGAGGCCCTCCTTCACCCTGTTCTTCAGTTTGGGTGCAGGGCCCTTCCTGCAAAGAGGGCGTGCAAGCAGCCAGAGAAGAGTGAGCCCATCCCCCATGGAGGGCGACAGGGGCACTGGCATTGGGAGGAAATGCAGGAAGACTGGAAGCAGCTCTGGGTGCAGGGTTAGATCTGGATACCTCAGGAAAAATAATAAAGGACTATTGCAAAGCTCCAGGGAACAGATGTTTCCCATCTGGAGCCTGTGAAGGGAAAGCACAGAGTGGGGCGGGCAGGGAGATGGAGGAAGGGGAAGAAAAGCTGAGACCTACAGGCAAGGAGAGGCGGTCAAGAGGAACAGAGAGAAAGACCAGAGAAGTGGGAAAACCAGAGGGAGGAAGGGCGAGGGAGGGAGCTGAGCAGGCCAGGGAGGGGCCCCTCATGCTGAGGGGACAGCAGGCCCCTCCCTGCTTGCTGGGGAGATGACCTCAACTGTGAGAATTCAAGGAAAATCCAGTACTGGTGATGCCCGCCTAGCCCTGGCCAGGGGAGGTCAGGAAGCGTACAGGCACCCCAGGTCTCTGGTGACGGCAGTGAGTGAGGATGTTGAGGCAGGAAGACGGGGTGCATGGCAGCCCCCAGACCTGTGGCCCTGTCTGCAGGTCAGAGGCCCTGCCCTGCACGGCAGCCAGGAGCCCTCAGGAGACCTCACTTCCCTGGCTCTGTTCTCTGTCATCTGGTTTCCTGCCTAACTGGAAATGAAGCCCATCGGAGCAAAGCAACCCTCCCTGTTTTCCAGGGCACAGTCTCTGGTATAAGGCCAGCCTGACAAGGCCCGTGGCCCCAAGGAAGAAGGGGGTGGGGATTCCTGTAGCTGAAATCTGTTGATGCAAAGGCACTGTGAGGAGTCTCCAGGGCAGTGAGCAGGGACAGCCTCCAGAGAAGGGCCTCGGGGGACAGGGCGCAAGTTGTAAACAGCTTAATGAGCCAGGAGGAGGCAGGCAGGTGGGCCAGGCCTGGGGCAGACCTGCTGGGATGAGGCCTAGGGAAGTGAGAGTGGAGCCTCGGGCTGGAAGCAGCCTCCCCGCCCCCAGCACTCACCACAGGCTTCCTTCCGCTTCTCCGGTCTGCTCCTCTGACCTGGGCTGCTCCACCCACCTGCCCAGCCTGGCAGGTCAGCACAGCCTCCCTTGTCCCCTCTGCCAGTCTATGTGCCCCTGCACCTTCAGGCCCCAGCTCGGGTGCCACCTCCCCCAGGAAGAGTCCCCTGACTGTACCAGCACAGCTGACCTGTCTGAGTGCCCAGAACACACAGAATTGGCACTTGTCACTCCACTGCCTTAGGTCACTCGCATAGTTTGCTGGTTCAGCTGTCCCACTTCCCCCACCTCCGCCGTTTCTCCTTCTCACCGGAGGGCCAGGCGCACAGGCAGGACTCAGGAGTTACACTCTGGGTACCAGTAATGAGGGAGTTGCTCAGAGCCGAGCTGAGGCTGAGGTGGCCAATCCCTTGACCACTGGGCCAGCCCTCCCTGCAAGGCCCTGGCTTCAAATCCCCACTACCTGGCCTCACCTTCCCTGGCTTCCTGCCTTAGGAATCTCCAGTTTGGGCCATCTCTGGGAAAAGAGCTTGCATTTCTCTCACTTATCATGAGAACTGGCTCCTCTCTCTTTAATTCTCTGATTCTCCCAAATTCTCCTCTCCACTACAGAAAAAGAGCACCCTTGTTCGAAAAGCCTTCTGTAGTATTTTAGGATATGGCAAGCAACTTCGATTACACAGTGAACCTTAGGCAACACTCACGCTAAGTACCCCAAGTGCTGTGTGCTGCAGGCAATCCTTAGTCAGGCTTCTTCCTGTTCCTTGTTGGAACAGGAAGATGGGACACCTGGGCCTGGGTTCTCCCCCTCTCTCTGGGAGCTTCCTTTGGGAGGTCTGTTACCCACCCCACCCCAGACCTACTCTGAACTAGTGTGACCTCAGCTCTCAGCCTTTGCTAGGAACAGCTCTTGGCAGTGTCACAAGCCAGGCCTTGCTTGCCCTTCTGTGCTCCCATCTGCACACTGGCACCAGCCCCAGGAGGGGACAGCTGAGCCCAGGTCCCCCATGACAGAAACGCTGAGGGGGCTGCAAGGCTGAGCTGCAACCCCAGTGAGCCGCCTTTCTCAAAGTGCCTGCTGAGGGTGTGGACCTGCATAGCCTGGGTCTGAACTGCATTTATGGGAGCTTGCCTGGGATTGCAGAAACTACCCCATTTTCCACTGATCGGTGAGAAGATGGCACTGGTTGTGGGATGGATCCTGTCCTTCCTGCTGGCATGGGTGTCGCTTATTCCTCTCCCTGCAGAGGAAAGTCATGGGCTTTGAAGGGAAGCCCAAGCCCAGCCCTGCCTTGTCCCTTCCCACTAATGGGACTGGGTGAGGCCCTCTCTCTCTGGGCACCTGCCTCCCTCCCAGACCTGTGGGGGTGAAATGAGAGAAGACCATGACAGGGTTGGGCCCTGGCCGGCAGTCAGCTCTCAGGGAGCGCAGGCGGCCATGTAGCTGTGACCAGTGCTCCTCGGTGTGCGCACCGGCTGGTTCCCGTCCCAGGCCTCCCTGGGCCTCTCATCCTCCCACCTTCACCCTTGGCAGCCTTGCGTGGCTCTCCCCCAGGCTCTGCGCCAGCCCTGCCTTGTCTGCTCAGCAGGTAGAGCTGGCTCTTCAGTCAGCCTCCCCCAGCCCCAGGCTGAGAGGCAGCAGAGCCACAGCATCTGCCTCTGTCCAGCACCCCCAGACGCCTAATGCGCAAGTTCAGTGAGGGACACTGGAAACAGTCAGTCCCCTGATGAAACACCGAGCTCCACGGGATCCCTCGCACCGCACTGCCAGGCTCTGAAATTAGACAGCCCAGCGAGAACCCTGGCTCCCCATTTTAACCACCCTGTGGCCTTAGGCAAGGTCCTCATCTTATCCTCTCTGTGCCCCAGTTTCCTCCTCCCTGAGGCAAGGTAAGTAAAGGGCTTATTTTACCAGACACGGAGTGCCGGACAGGGAGAGAGCATTGGGAAACCATTACCTGCTGTTCCTGCTGCCCCCAGAGTGAGCCCATCCTGGGCGTGACTCAGCAGGAGGGGGTCCACAACCTCAGGCCGGCTCCTGAACTCTGGGGCTGGTGGGGGGATGCCGGAGGGGTCTCCCGTCTGACTCCCCCACCACTCTCACCACTCACCCCCTCTCTGGTTTTGCAGCTGAGCTGTTCATGGAACAGCAACACCTCAAGGAAGCGGGTTTCTGCATCCAGGAGGCGGCGGGCCTCTTCCCCACCTCACACTCAGTCCTCTACATGCGGGGCCGGCTTGCCGAGACAAAGGGCAGCTTGGAGGAGGCCAAGCAGCTGTACAAGGAGGCGCTCACAGTGAACCCCGATGGCGTGCGCATCATGCACAGCCTGGTGAGTCAGCCCCGCACCCCCTGAAAAGGTCTCAGGGCCCTCCTCTCCCTTCGCACCGCTGTGGGTGTCTTGCTGCCACTGTTCCCTGGTGTTGAGGGAGAGTGGCTTTGTCCCTGCCCGTTGGGAGAGACAGCTCTCCTTTGTGTAGAGGCAGACTATTCCCCTTCAGGCAGAGCCTGCCTGAGTTGATGAGAAGTTCTAGGATAGGTTGGTATACTCTGTGACTTTCTGTGTGCTGTCAGGCACCCTAGCCCTAAAGGGCTTTCAATGCTATTCATCAGATACTCGCCCTAGAGACTCTAGGCAGATACCCCCTGCTTCTTTCTGGGGGGTCCCAGGCCCTCCTTCCTGATCTCTGGGCTTCCTCTCCCACTTCATAGGAGCTCCATGCCTCCTTGATGGGATTTGGGGGTGGCCTGGGGTGGGCTATGACTCCAGAACACTGAGAGTGGCCTCTGGAATGGTAAGAGGACCCAGCAACCCCAGTCCTTGGACATGTTCAGGATGTGGGTGCCCATGGCCTTCCTGTAGGGAGGCTTAGAGGCTGGGGGCAACAGGCTGGCACACTTGGCTTGGCCTTACCATTCTTTTCCTGGGCAGTCACGGGCAAGTCAGCCACCTTCTCTGAACCTCAGTTTTACTCATCTGTGCAGTGGAGATTCTTTGGTCCAGGAAACATTTATTAAATACCTGTTCTGACAGGTGGTATACCAGACCATCTGGAGAACTATTTTTTCCCAGCGTTCCTTAGCTGTTCAGAGGTATCAAGGTGAATGTAATGATCTGAAAGCAGGCAGGCCTTCATATGCACAGTGGTTTTTGAAGTCTAATTTAGGAAGCCTACAGTAAGCAACACAGTCATGCTACAAGGGCCTGGGTTCCCCCTCAGACGTCCCCCTGTGGAGCCCCTTGAGGAGAGTAGCCCTGAGAGCAATGCTGATGTCCGCCAAGTGGAGAGCACAGAAGGACCAGGAGCATGACTGCAGAGAGCTGAGGGTTGTCATGACCCAAAGAGATCTGATTTGTTCATGAGTGGAAACTACAGGGAGTTAAATTTCAGCACAGCATTGGGAAAAATGTTATAACTCTTAGAATAATAGTCCAAGCACAAACTCAGGAATCATCTGGTGAGGATGTTGCCAAGAGAATGGAAACATCACATGGGGGAGAGCCAGGCTAGGTCATCTTTATAAGGTCCTTTCCAACCCCGAGAATCCTTAAACAGAACAGAAATTCCAAGCTTAGCAAGTATTCCCACTGCCTGATTTCTTAAATGATTTCTAGCTTAGGCCCAGTGAATGTTTGCATTGGTTGAAGACAGCCTGCACAGTGGTGCCACACCCTGGCCTGTGTTCCCCTCCACATGGCTCTGCATTGCCTTCCAGTCTGCTCAGCAAATGTTTGTTTTTTGCTAGGCACATCCTCCTTCCTCCCGCAATTCAGACATTAGCTCCTCTGATAAATGCCTCCCCGGAGGTCACATCCAGGAACTTGATTAGGGTGGTGGTGGGGAGGATGTGGGCTCTGTCATTAGGCCTGCAGCCAGGCACAGATGTCTGCCTTCCACTGGGCTCGCGGATATGAGCCTACTGTCTCAGTCCCTAAGACCCAACAAAATCTAATAACAAGTACAATTTTCAAGTAACAATGTACCATTTTTCATTTATGCTTATTATTGTTTGTAGCTATTTTCCTGAAATTGAAGCAGTTTTCAAGGGCAGGTTTCCATGGTAACTGAATAGCTGTCCAGGGTGGCTCCCTACAGATGTTTCTGAAATGGTGCCTTTTCTCTTCCCGGGGAGCCTTGCTGATTTGATGAAATTGGAGCAAGTCAGAGCCAGGCCTGCCCACTGTTAAAGTTACAAGCGACCAGAGGGGCAGTCGGCTCCAGCGTGGGCAGCCTATCCCTTTCCACACACTCTGTTCCTGCCGGCATTCCACACATATGCATAAAGAAGAGCAAATTTCAAGCCTGGGGAAGAGATTTACTAAGCTGTGTTCTCCCAAAGACACACGAACACTTAGGCATGTTGATCTCCAGCATTCCCTATACTGGCCTCAGACTCAGGACATGTGGGATCTTATCCTGGCTCTGGCCCTAATTCACTTGGGTGATTTAGGAAAGGACACTTTAGTTCCTTTGCACCTTATGTCTCCTTTTATAAATGCATATAATCATCATTCCTAGACCAATGTTGTTCTAATCAAATGAGGTGATACATGTAAAAGTGCTTCTCAAAGTCTGCAGTGTAGTATCAGAGAAGCACATATGCCACCACTCTCCAGTCCCTCACCCATAGCAGACATTGCTAATCAATCACAACACTTTTCCCACTGAGCTCAAATACGACTCAGGGATCTTTCTCACCATGTTACATGATGGGAGCCAGTCCTCATTGGTCTAAGTCAGTCTGACACTTATATAAGGGATTCATTGTAAAAATAGAGAATGGGAAAGACACATCAGTAGTCTCACCTTTGTGAACTCTGGAAGGTGGTGCATCCTTAGAGAATTATCCAGAGAAAGGAATATGGAAGGGAACTTAGTATCCCCCCAGGGCATCATTGCCAAGGCAGGTTCCCAGGGAGGACATTGCTGGCCTCAGCATGCCAGTGTGGCTCTATGAGGACGTCAACCTCTGATAGGTCCAAGGGGAAGAAAAAGCACCCTGCCTGGGATCACAGCCACCCACAGCCTGAGCTGGATGAGCTCTGGGTCCATCAATGAGCCCTCGGAGGTGGTGGTTACATCTCACTCCCTGAGGTCTGGAAAGGAGAAGACAGAGATATACTCAATGTGCTGTGCGGGTTAGAGGTTCAACCCTACAGTCCTTATGGTGGGATCATCAAACGGCAGGAGGCCAGCCTCAGGGCCTCTTCCTAGGGCGGTGGATGTGAACAGGACATCTGGGGACAGGCTGGAGAAAGCCTCTGAGGGTAGCAAGCTATTGCTTTCAGGAGCCAGGGTGCAGGCATTTCTAAGAATATGGACTTTGGCCCGGAAGCAGGTTCTCTGCTCTCCCTATCCTGCTGCTCTCCTAGATGTGATGGAAGATGTTTCCATGGTTCTGGCTCCACCCTGGGCTCAGCTCTGGCTCCTCCGCCCAGATCAGACAGGAAAGACACACCTCCTTCTCAGTGCTCTGCCAGGAAAGGGTCTCCGCTCTGTCGGCAGCAGTGTTCCAGACAAGTGTGCGCCATCAAGGCTTATCCTGCAGGCTGCCGCCTCCACCCGGTTGCTTCAGGAGCCTGCCAAGTATAGAAGGAAAAAGGCATGCTTTCTGCAGATGGAAATTCCCAGTGAAATCTTCCCTGAAAGTTTCTGCCAGCTCAGTTTCAACCTCCTCCCTTCCAGGTAGCCAGAAACCCGCATTCACTCAGTCTGGGTGTTCAGCACTTAATTTACTGGCAGAAGAATCTTGTTAAAAAGGGGAGGCCTCTTGTCTAGCTTGGATTAACACTTAGTCTACAGGCACACACCTGATCATCTAAATTTGCTCTCTTACAGCACTAAACTATGTTTTCTACCTTAATCTTG